TTTTTCTATGCATGGCCGGCCAAAGTGGAGAAGGAGAGAGAGAAAAATAAATCCTACCCCTTGTACTTTAGTCCACTCTCTTAAAGTTTCTCTTGAAACTGCTAAAAATCTACTGACTGTAAAGGGTACTTAGCTGACAGGAAATTCTTGTTTCTGACAGTTCTTTTTTTTTTCTACTACTTATTTACAGTTCAACTTTTAAATCCTCATCTGCTTTGATATCACGTTAAATTCTTACTCGCGTAATATCTTAAACTGTTTCAAGTCTTGAAATTAATTCTAGACTGAATAAATTCTAAATTTAACTTTTCTGCATTATATCCCGGGAATGACATTATTTCTGACGGTGTCAACTCCTTAGCTCACATTGTACCCTTCTACTATAGGTATCTATCTTGTGACTTTAACCTAGCTGTCTGGCAATTAAGGATTTTCTCTTCTTTAAAAATGTCAGTGCGTTTTTTTTACGCTGCTAACATCATGCTGTGTTTGGAGATTCTTGAAATTAAGATTCTCAAACTATACTTGTACTGAAAATTATTCTGCCTTAAAGTATGGCAAGAATTTATCGATCGAATTTACTTGATCGAAAACATGAACTTAACATGAAATCTGCTACAGAATTTAGGAATACATATATTGATTCCATAAATCCTTCAGTCACATAATAATTTCTAGGAAAATCCTTGGCTTAAATAAATAAATTGTATTATTTAAAGTCTAAAATTTTCTCAGTCATTACAATAAATATGTTAATTTAAAATTTTGAAAGTACAATTTTGAATCTTGATGACATCCAAAAATATATGACGTATAAAATTGTAGGTATCTTATTTTTTTTTTCAAACTATTTTTAATTGACATTTGGTTAATGAATTAGAATCAATATTAAAATTATTTTTTATTTACGTGTATTTTTTATGAGAAAAAATATTATACCGAACTATATATCATGATTTAAATTATGGGTTACTGTTAAAACGTCAAGTTCCTTAACGTTTTGTTTTTGCATGAATTAGTCAAACCAATTAGCTTGCACCACAGAAATTTTAAAGGTCAGCTTAAATAATGCTTTTGCATGCCGATTTGCTTACACCAATAAAATTTAAAAGTTCAGCTTAAATAATGCTTTTGCATGCCAACTGGCTGCTTAAACGTGTGTTGTTTTGCTGAGAAATTTTGGAACACGTTGTTCTTAATTTCTTTTTAGTTTTGTGTCCTCAATTATTTTTCTTTTGAAATTATGCAACTCTTATGTTTCAACTTTAAAAAAGAAATAACTCACAATTTAAGATCTATCGGTACGATGTTTTTTTTATAAAAATTTAAATTTAATTTTTTTATTATAATATTTTCTTTTCACATAGTAATTAAAATTTTTAACTTATGTTGTGAAATAAATATACTTAAAAGAATTCATAATCAATTTTTTTTTTAATTTTTCAATCAAAGCAGCATGAATAATCCATATCAATACGATGATTTTGAATTTCTGATCACCACAAATTGTTTGACTTTATACTATACAAATAGTTTTTGCTTTCGATTTTCATTTTCCAAAAAAAAACATTTTTTTTGATGAAAATTTTCCGAAAAACACCATTGATTGGTTAGTTCATTGACGTATGAAGATATAATAATTAAAAGCAAAATCGGCCACAGCCGCTAGTACCGGCCGTCACCCTCAACCAGGCGGGAAAACAAATGTTGATCTGATCACTTTCTTTTTCTGCTTTTTTTTTTTTTCATTTTCATTTTCATTATTGTTTTTGTTTTTAATTTTGCTTAACAACATTACAAGCGAAAGTACAGAAGAAAACAAAACCATCTTTTTTTTTGGTTATCTTTTGCTTTCGGCATAACAAAAATGGCGGATGATTCCCAGATCAATAGAGAGCCGCTCTTGAGGAATGAGTACTTTTCCGATTGTCCCGGCTGTAAGGTTGAGCAACACAAGGATTTGCAGAGAGGTTTTCCGATCAAAGACATTATCCGTATTTGGATTATCGTCCTCGCTAATGGTATAACTTTTTTTTTTTTTCTTTTCAATTTGAGAGGAATCGTATTGTTTTGTCTGTGTGACCCTTTCGTCTGAAAGTGGTTTTTGTGGACACTACTACCAAAAGTACCTATTGTACCTGATGTTTGTCCATTATTCAAATCATAAAAAGTAACACTTCAAGCAAAAAAAAAAAAAAAAATCATGAAAAGTAATACTATTATATGTCAGATTCATGTTTATGAATAGAAATTGGATAATCTCAAAAAGAAAAAGATATTGGCTACTCATGTGCCCAACCATTATAAATATATATATATATATATATTTTTGGGTACAGTATATGAAAGTTTGATGTAAATTGCTATAATTCTAATCAGAGTTTTTTTTTTTTTTTTTATTTATTTATTTATTTATTTTTTTTTACCTCCTCCAGCTCTGCCAATATCATCGCTTTTTCCTTTCATCTATTTCATGGTGAGTCTACTTTATTGCTTCATCTTTTAATTTCTGAAACTTTTTTCGCCCTCGTTAGACCATCTCTTTGTTACTGTCCTTGTAGATGCGGGACATGTTTGGTGTACTTTACTAAAATACTATACGCATGTGTTCATGCGTTTAAATTAATGATTCTTAATTTTAACATTTAAAAATTAAATTTTTTGTGAGAGAAAAACACTGTAATAGAATTAAAATCATGAGTTTAAACGCAGCAAATAAACGAGCCTGAAAGGTATGTTTTTATTCTGGTGTCACAAAAAGTGTTACAACACTAGTTAAAACACTGAGGTTATGTTAATGCCCCGTTCAATTTACCGATTCGAGTTTAGAGTTTGAGTTTTGTTACAGTAAAAAGCTCACAGAAACAGTCATATCTAATTTTTTTTGCTACAATAAAAAGCTTTCACATAAAGTCACATATAAACTCGAATTAAAAACTCAAATCAGCGAACTAAGCGGGCCCTAAGTGTTTCAGATTCAGAAAATAATTGTGTAGAGAAGTAATGCAGAAAATAATAGTGCAGAAACGTAAAGACATAAGGAATTAATATCGCAGTTCGGTGCGTACACCTACATCTGCAGGACTACGCCCAGATAGTGAACAATCCACTAAGATTGAAAGATCACAAACACCAAAAATGGTCTTACACACTCAAAGACTCTGTTCTTGACCGTGTCGCTATTGTGTTGAGTCTCCTTAGAAGACTTGTACAGCAGGCACCACCCAACTTTGTAACGTTTCTTCACAGTCAAGTATTGACATGCACCATAAGGATAATCTGTAAGATTTTTCACTCAAAACACAAATCTATCATAGACACTCAACTCCACAGAATTTTCTGCACAGTGTACACACAAAAGAACCTCTTTCAACCCTCTACATACACCACCAAACCTTACAACCTCATCATAGCCGATCACTCTCTTCAAAATCAAATTAATCACCACAGATTCTTTCCATAAACACCTCCAATCAACCAGCCGAGTCAACCAAATCAGCCACCAATCAATATCAGCAAAATCAGTCCAAACTTGGAGAATCATTCCAAATTTGGTGCAGCTAACCCAAAAAGGAAATCCCTATTTCTTTGAATTCATACTACCGATTTTCAACAAAAATTGCAACTAAGTAAGAGTAGTCCTAACAATCTCCTCCTTTGACATTTTTTGGCAAAACACTAAAAGCATCCTAATGCTAAGAAATTCAAAAGAAACAGACATAAATTGTTCTGTACAAATTACAAACAATTACAAGACTCCCTCTTTTTGTCAAAAAGACTACCAAAGTAAAGTAGCAGACAAAAGATGGCAGTAAGAACTATAAAAGAAAAACTACGAAGAAATACCAACTCCATCAGCAACTGAAGAAGATTGGAGATCCCCAAGCAGCGCCGCAGCCTCATTCTTGCGCTAATCAATTTCTTTGAGCTCCTGTAAAAGTCTCTTTTCACAAGTAGCAAGATCCTGTAATTCCTTCTGCAAGTACTGAATGATACGAGCTTTTTGAACAGCAGCAACAGATTGAGAGGAACTGGATGTGACACTAGTTGAGACATGAGAAGTAACATCCTCCTGCAACTCATCTTCAAAATATGAGAAAAGCTCCCCCTGAACATCATCACATGCTTTCCAGAGTGAAGTTTCTTTAAAATTCTAAGTTTTCTTGAAAATTTGTCAAACACCTCTACCGACTTATTAATATCTTTTTGAGACATCACCACACCATAAATGAGAGAAGGAAATGGAAGCACCTGACGAGTGAACATAACTTTAGCATTACCTACTATCTGATCATAAATGAGTTGTTTAATGTCAAAGGAGAAACAAAGACCAATCATGTAGAGCAATTTGGCAAGGGGCTTATTGACACTAGTAGCATGTGTACTAGGCATCCAGTTCTTTAAGGCAATCTTGTGCAACACAGAATACTTCAAACTTAACTCAGTAGCAGGAAAAGATTTTTAGCTATGATCTGGTCATAGCTTGCTTCACACTCCACAATCATTCTATGGCTTCCATCAAAGTCATTGATAATTGCCGGTGAAAAATCAAACAAGTGACCTCTGACAAAAATTTTATGAAACATTGGGGATTTATGATCATTAACCCCACTGACCAAATTTGCATAGAACTCTAAGACCACTTCCTTTACAAATGGTTTTAGTTTAGTGACTGTTCCAAGTAGACTCTGATTCTCAGTAACTCCAAAACACCCAATTCTCTAAATTCGGTCTCATTCAGTAATCTTTCAGAGAATATCTTCCTTTTAATCACTGACTTCCAGACATTCTATTCAAATCAGAATAGAAGAGAGAAGTATCATCCTTACCAGAATTTAGACCAAAGGCTTCCTTCGCTTTCTCTCTTTTGAAGGTCTCTGAAGCTTTTGCCTGAGGTTTGGTCTTAGACCTAGTAACCCTGCTTGAACTGACTGGAGCAGTGGTTTTCTTCTGCTTCTTCCTCTTTGGCAATGGTCCAGTAGAGGCGTGAGATTGTTCGACCTCAGCAGCCTCATTAGAAGCACCAGGACCAGTTGTTGGATGGAAGCAATTATCACTTGAGGAGGCATACCTCTTCATCTTCTGCTTTTTAGACTCAGCCCGAATTTCAGTTTCAATTCGAGTTGGGGACTTTTGTTTCATCCTTTCTGGATAAATTGGGAATCGAGAGTTCCAAGAAGGAAAACCTGGTCTGACAGGAAACTTCATCAAGTTTGGGGGTGACCAAGGCGGATGACTAGGAGATGGTTGAGATGCACCAGCATTGGCAGGAGAGGCTGCTGGTGGCAGAGACACCGGAGCAGTGGCGGTGGAATCATCAGATATTGGAAAACCCCGAGGAGTGGAGAAAACTTCTTCACGGTGGCCGGACTCTGACGGAGTAACATACAGAACAATCGCTGACTGACGAATAATGGCGAGAGGGACTGGGTTGGCTTCATTGGTGGACTGAGAATTCTGGCGAGGAGCAGCCGCGGTGGAGGTTGATGGAGCCTTTGGCTTTTTCGGCGAATATCGTTTAAATGCTGCCATTACTCTCTCTCGTAATTGCTCTTGGAATTTTGCAACCGCTTTATTGACTTTGTTAGATCGAGAATTGCGAGTTTTCACCATTGTTGAGGAAAAATTTGGAAGGATTGGACTGACGAATGAGAGGAAGAAGAGAGAGTTTAGGTGTTTTGTGCTTAAACCCTAAAGCCCCAAAATTCATATAAACAAACTCCCGGGAACACACAAAGGCCTCAAAACACATTGTCATTTTTTTTTATTTTTTTAATATTTTTTATATTTATATTACCCAGATTCCTAGAGCCGTCCTCAAAGACTCAAATCGGAGAGCACCTAGTGCCTTTGTAAAAATATCTGCCAGTTGTTTTTCAGTAGCAATGTATTCAAGAGTGAGTGTTTTATTATCCACCAGTTCTCTGATAAAGTGATGACGAATATCAATGTGCTTCATGCGAGAGTGTTGGACTGGATTTTTAGAGATATTTATTGCACTAGTATTATCACAATATACAGTCATGACATCTTGTGAAATACAATATCCTCAAGCATCTGTTTCATCAATAATAGTTATATGCAACAGCTTCCTGCTGCTATATACTCTGCCTCTGCTGTGGATAGAGAGATGGAATTCTGCTTTTTACTAAATCAGGAAACAAGATTATTCCCCAGATAAAAACATCCACCAGAAGTGCTTTTTCTATCATCAACATTGCCAGCCCAATCTGCATCATTAAAACCTGCGAGACTAGAATTCGTATCTCTAGAAAACCAAATTCCATAGTCAACTGTACCACTTACATACCAAATTATCCTTTTAACTGCAGCCAAGTGAGACTCCTTAGGATTTGCATGATATCTAACACAAACTCCAACACTAAAACATATGTCAGGTCTACTAGCAGTCAAATACAAGAGACTCACAATCATGCTTCGATAGAGACTAGGATCAACTGAAGCGCCATTATCATCTTTCATCAATTTCTCATTTGTGCCCATAGGAGTTCTCAAATGTCTTGATTTTTCAAGACCAAATTTCTTTACCAAATTTCTTGCATATTTGCTTTGAGAAATAAAAATCCCATTTTGCACTTGTTTCACCTGCAGGCTAAGGAAATAGTTCAATTCACCCATCATACTCATCTCAAACTCCTTCTTCATCTGGTCAACAAACTCATCTACATTTCCTTGACTAGTGAATTCAAATACAATGTCATCCACATATATTTAAGCAATGATAATTCTAGATTTGAACTTCTTAATAAATAAAGTTTTGTCAACTCCCCCTCTCGTATAGCCCTTCCTATTCAAGAAACCTATCAACCGTTCATACTAGGCTCTAGGTGCTTGCTTCAATCTATATAAAGCCTTGTTGAGCTTGTAGACATAGTTAGGTTGAAGAGTATCTTCGAAACCTTTAGGTTGCTCTACAAATACTTCTTCATTCAAAAACCCATTAAAAAATGCACTATTCACATCCATTTGAAACAACTTAGCCCCCAACAGACAGGGAATAAGCAGCAGAAGCCTGATTGACTCAAGTCTTGCGATGGGAGTAAAAGTTTCATCAAAATCAACTCTTTCAACCTGAGTGTACCCCTGTGCAACAAGTCTCGCCTTGTTTCTGGTAATGTTCTCATGTTCATCAGTTTTATTCTTAAAGATCCACTTAGTACCAATAACATTAGAACCACTTGGTCTAGGAACTACGCTCCACACATCATTTCTCACAAACTGTTCCAACTCCTCCTGCATTGTGTTTATCCAGAACTTATCTTGAAGTGCTTCTTAACATTCTTTGGTTCCACAGTAGAAATGTAACACACATATCTCACCATGTCTCGATAATTTTACTTTGGTTTATCTCGAATACGTATACCATCATGAATGCTTCTAATTACCTCCTCAACTGGACGGTTCTTCTTAATTCTGGAAGATAGTTCCCTGGTAATTGGGTCTGCAATGTTGTAAATTTTTGTCTCTGTTTCTGACTGTCTTGTCCCAGGCAGTATTAACACCATCTGTAACATCGTCTATGACACTGTCTTCAGCATTATGCTTCTTATCTCCTTGATCATCTGCTTTAGATTCATCAAAAGCTTCATCTTCAGAAAGTCTTTCTACAGTCCCTTTGAAGTCATCAACTACTACATTTGCAGACTCCATGATAGCTTGAGTTCTCTTGTTGTAAACTCTATAGGCTCGACTATTATTAGAGTAACTAAGAAAAACTCCTTCATCACTTTTTGCATCAAGATTTCTTCGATGTTCCTGATCATTGAGAATATAGCACACACTTCTGAAAACATGAAAGTATTTGAGATTAGGTTTCTTACCCTTCCAAATCTCATAGGGAGTCACCTTTGTACTTGGTCTAAAGTACACTCTGTTAACCGTGTAGCAAGCTGTGTTCATAGCTTCTGCCCATAGTCTAAACGACAATCCTTTAGAATTAAGCATTAGCCGAGCCATCTCTTGAAGAGTGCGATTCTTTCTCTCAACAACGCCATTTTGTTGCGGTGTCTTAGGAGCTGAAAACTCATGAGCTATACCGTGCTTATTGTTAAACTCAGCAAAGATAGCATTTTCAAATTCCTTCCTATGATCGCTTCTGATTCTTATAATTTTTCCAATGCTGCAATCTTTTTCGTTCGAGAGTTTGACACACAAGTTCTTAAACACTTCAAACGTATCTGACCTTTCTCTGATAAAGTCCAACCAAGTAAATCTTGAGAAATCATCCACACAAACAAACATATATCACTTTCCACCAATGCTTTCAACTTGCATTGGACCCATAAGATCCATGTGCAGCAACTCAAGAACCCATGTTGTTGAAATCTATTGCATCACTTTTTGCAAAACTTTCTTTTATTTTCCTATTTGACAAGGTCCACAAACCCCAAGAGGTTTTTCTCCCACCTTAGGAACTCCTCTAACTGCCCTAATATTGGCAATCGTCCTCAGAGTCTTGTAATTCAAGTGACCTAGTTTTTAATGTCAAATCTCAGTTTCATCAACAGTACTCTTGTAACAGTTAAGTGGAAGAGTTAACATATAACAGTTGTCTGAAGATCTTGATCCTTCCATGACACAACTTTCTGCTTTATCAAACACTTAACACTCATCCTTGTAGAACCTTAATCACACAGTTGACTAATGCTAATCAGATTAGCCTTTAATCCTTCAACCAATAGTACATTCTTCAATCTTGGATGACCCTCAACGTCTAGCATTCCTTTGCCGCGAACTTTGCCTTTGAGACCAATTCCAAAAGTCACATGTCTGTCAGTGCAGCTTCACATCTTTCAAGAAACTTCTATCTCCTGTCATGTGCTTTGAGCAACCACTATCAAAGTACCATGCACTTATGGTGCTTGTTTTCAAGGAAGTGTAAACTACATGACATTTAAGTTCAGATTTTCTCACCTACACTTGACAAGTGTTTCTGAAATAAGCGCCTTTCTTCTTTCTAGATGTTCTTCTTGCTAGCTTTGAAGTAGCAAAAAACATCCCTCTCCTCAAATCTTTCAAGTATCTGAAGCGTTGAGGTCGAATGTGTCCAAGATAATAACAATAATGACAGGTGTGAGTGAATTTTCCTTGTTGTGACCGTGTCTCAGGTACTTTCTTGCTTATGAATGGTTGAGGTTCATGTGGGATGGTTTCTTTCACAAATACAATCTTTGAGGTTGAGCATTCTCCAGTGTAGCCAAGACTATAGTGATCACCACTAGCTTTTCCCATAGTGAGAATATGTTCCCGTTTAGATGTACCAGAATTCAACATCTTTAGAGTTCTTTCTGTATGTTCTAATTCCGGCTTCAATTCTTGCAGTTTCTTTTCCGTTTCAGCAACTTGTGCCTCATAAGTCTGCAGTAGCTCTTGTCAAAACTTCTTTTTCTCTCACAAGTTCACCTACACGTTCCTCCAAAGTCTTATTTAGTTTGCACACTTTAACCCATTTGTCAAACATGGTTTTGTATGCTTCCTAAATTGCATCATCTGTCAATTCTTCTCCATCACTGCTGCTATTTAATTCTGACTCACTTTCTTCCTTCTCACTATTCACTGTCTATATATCAGCTATTGTTGTGACACTATCTGCAACACCATTGGTAACATTATCTGCAAAATCATCCTGATTAGTGTACACATTAAAAGAAACATAGTTGCTTACATGGTCATCATCTTCCTGACTCCTTTCTGATTCTTCATCACTCCAGGTTCCACTTAGAGACTTCTTCTTCTTCTTAAGTGTGTTGGCGCATTCGGATTGAATGTGACCATATCTGCCGCACTCCCCGCATTAGATACCTCTACTTTTTGTCTTCATTTCAATGTTATTTGCTGTGAATTTGTTCTTCTGTGAATTGCTAGTGTTACTGAAGCTTGAATTCCTATTCCTCTTATTAAATTTCTTCATTACTCATTTAAAGTTTCTTGTGAACAAAGTGAGGGTCTCAGCCAAGTCTTCTTGATCATCCGAGTCTTCTTCTACAATCTTTTGAGCTCCAGCACAAAGAACAACTTCTTCTACATGAGTTTTTTGAGCTCTAGCATGAAGATCGACTTTCTTTTCTTTCTTGTCTTCATCAAGATTCATTTCAAAAGTGCGTAAAGAGCCCATCAACTCCTCTAGCTTCATCGTCTGTACATTCTTAGCCTCCTCAATAGCTGTGACTTTATAGGCAAATCTCCTTGGAAGTGATCTCAGTGTCTTCCTCACAAGTTTCTCCTCAGAGAATTTTTCACTAAGAGCAAATGCCTCATTAGCAATTTCACACAATTTTGAATTAAAGTCAAAAATAGTTTCATTGTTAAGCATTCTAAGATTCTCAAATCTTGTAGTAAGGATTTGCAGTTTTGATAATCTAACTGCAGCCGTTCCTTCATGTGCGGTTTGTAAGATCTCCCAAGCATTTGTTGGCAGATTCACAGGTTGAAATGAGCTTGACCTGATTGGCGTCAACTCCATTGAAAATAGCATTTAGCGCTCTTGAGTTGTTATTTGCCAATTTGTCTTCTTTAGTGGACCATTTCTCTTCAGGCTTCATAACTTCTTTCCCTTCAGAATCCTTGGTTACTGGATGTTCCCATCTAGTCAATACAGGACGCCATGCCATTTCATCAATTGCCTTGATAAACGTCTTCATGTGAGCTTTCCAATATGAATAATTGGATCTATCAAGGAGAGGAGGGCACAAAACTGAGCCACATTCTTTCAGAAAGTCCATCCCTGACACTACATACCAAATTTTAAAATCTCACCAAACAAATGGTTAGTGAACCTCTCTGATACTAATTGAAAGGTCTATTTTTATGCCGGTGTCGCAAAGAGTGCTACAATACTAGTTGAAACACTGAGGTTATGTTAAGTGTTTTGGATTCAGAAACAAGTAAATAATTGTGCAGAGAAGTAATGCAGAAAATAATAGTACAGAAACGTACGAGCCACAGGAATTGATATCGCAATTCGGTGTGCACACCTACATTTGTGGGGTCACGCCCATACAGTGAACAATCTAGTAAGATTAAAAGATTACAAACACCAAAAACGGTCTTACACACTCAAATACTCCCTTCTTGACCGTATCGCCGTTGTGTTGAGTCTCCTTAGAGAACTTGTCCAGCAGGCACCACTCGACTTTGTAACATTTCTTCACAGTCAAGTACTGACATGCACCATAAGGATAGTTTGTAAGATTTTTCACTCAAAACATAAATCTATCACAGACACTCAACTCCCCAGAATGTTCTGCATAGTGCCCACACAAAAGAACCTATATCAACCCTCTACATACACCACCAAACCTTACCACCTCATCATAGCTGATCACCATCTTCAAAACCAAATTAATCACCACAGATTCTTTCCATAAACACCTCCAATCAACAAGCTGAGTCAACCAAATCAGCCACCAATCAATCTCAACAAAATCAGTCCAAATCTGGAGAATCATTCCAAATTTGGTGCAGCTAACCCTAAAAGGAAATCCCTGTTTCTTTGAATTCATACTACCGATTTTCAACAAAAATTGCCAACTAAGTAAGAGCAGTCTTAACAGAGCCTATATTGTATAGTAATATGTTGATACAATTTTTTTCCTCGATTTTTATACTTGCATTTTAAGATTATCAAATAATCACACCTTGTATTTTAGATTATATCACATTTATACCTTAATATCTAAATTTTAAGCTTAGTTTTTACTTTTTCTCGGTCAATAGTTAACTTTGACAATGAAAAAGTCAAAAACACCCTTAAAAATAAGAGTAAAAAAAATAAAAATTAAAAAAATGTGAAGGACATTCTGGTCATTTCCAGTCAAAATAAAACTTTAATGGATTTAATATGTATTTGAAAAAATAATGTTAGGGATATCAACTTAAATTTTAACTGTTATGTACTAACTGATATGGCATATAATTGTCATTTTTATATTAATGGATGTTTAAAATATTGCCATGTTAATTAATGAAAGAGATTACATATATCAATTTTTTAATAGATTGATTTCTATATTATATATATATATATATATATATTAGTTTACCAATTTTTTTATGAGTTTAAACTGGTAAGAGGTAAACAAAATATTAGTTTTCCTTCAAAGTCTCCTTTAAAGCCATCAAATTAGAAGCTGTTTGAACTCAAGACCTCATACTTTAAGATCGTGTTAAACAGCTAAAATGCTCCCCAAAGCTTAAAATTTATAGGAGGCAGGGTGACTTTGAATTTTTCCTTTTTTTTTCCTAGTAATAAGAAAGAAATGCAACTACAGGTATCAAGGCTTTTGTTTAATATTACTCAATATGGTCTGTGCCAAGGGACATAGACATCATGTTAATTTGTGTGCTGATGGTGATTACCTAATGTAAATTGACAAAGCTGTCAGTCACTTTACTTGTTAAGCAAACTATAGTAACTAGTAAACCTTTTCTTTTCATCGCACTATTAATTTACAATAAATTTCTTTCTTCGATTTAGTCTCTATTTTCTTTCATATCCATGGCAGTTTGCCTTTTTGTGTTCAGTTTCTTGCTGTAAACTTACGATGTAATGAGTGACCTTTGGCTCATTGGTTCTGTTTTCTGCTTTCACAAACACTTCTTTTTATCCATTGTTTAATCATCGTTTGCAGATAAGGGATTTGCATATTGCTAAAAGAGAGGAAGATGTGGCCTACTATGCTGGTTATGTAGGTAAGGTTATTTTCATTGATTATCATTTGTCATTTCTTATTTAATGTGTCCTAACAAACTTTAATTCTTTCAAGGCGCTGCATATATGCTTGGGAGAGCTTTGACGTCTATTTTATGGGGAGTTATTGCTGATCGCTTTGGTCGAAAACCTGTCATAATAATTGGGACTGTCACAGTGTTAGTAACTATAAGTTCTCCTTTCCTACTATTTATATGTGTGTGTGTGTGTGTGTGTATAGAAAGTTTCCCTTTTACTCATGATTTTTGTTTCTGAAAATATGTTTGGATGGTTTGTCTCACATGTAAGGCTGTAGCTATTTTTACACTGCTCTTGTTTATCCCCTCAGGGTTGTTTTCAACACTCTCTTTGGCCTTAGTGTAAACTATTGGATGGCCATCAGTACAAGGTTTCTTCTTGGAAGTTTTAATGGCTTACTTGGAACAATTAAGGTATAATAATGCTCCATTTAAATATGAACAAATATTTCAGGGCACAGATGGTACTCAGCACCATCTACTAATAAAAAGTTGATCCCGCAGTATAGAGTCCACATATGAGACTCACCTTCTATTATTAATGGTGCTTACAGCAATGGTGCTCTAAGCATTTTTCATATAATATACATTAACTTCATAGAGATGAAATGATGGGTTCCTAACATAAACTTCAAGCATTTTTTTTTTTAATAAGATGATTTAACTTTCTTATGACCAGGCATATGCATCTGAAATCTTCCGGGAAGAGTACCAAGCTCTAGGAATGTCAACAGTGAGATTTAATGCCCCACGTCTAATGCAAGTTTTAAATGCCATTGCATCAACAAAGTTATTGATATTAACTGCTACAATTTCAGATTAGCACAGCATGGGGTATAGGATTAATCATTGGACCGGCAATTGGAGGCTTTTTTGCCCAGGTAACTCTCTCTCCTTCTATTTGTTTTCTTTTTAGGGAGGAAAGATATCTAAGTAAAACTTTCAAATTCTAGTTATTGTCTTCTTTCCCCGAGTACTTGATTTGTAGTTAGTTGTGAGCTTCTAAAAGTTCTTTTTAGGTTTCAACCTTTTAATTTAATTTGGTGATCTTCAGCCCACACTAAAGTTAGAAGTTTTTGCTTGGTTACTTTATCATGGAAAGGTTAATAAAACTAATCTCCCGTTTAGTTAGATGATTCGTTCTCTGATTCGAATCACGATTCATGGTTCGTTATAGTATTTTCTCTCACAAAAAACATACGTAAATCGAAAATGGTTCTAATCCATGAACCAAACGGGCTCTAATTAAAGGTTGAAACAACCCTTTTATTCTCTGTATCTTGAACAATTTGAGGATGTAAAAATGTATAAAATCTTACTGGCTATAAATAGAATTTATAATTATTTATGACTATAACAAGTAACAACAACTAAAAATTCTAGAATCTTTTGTGGAATTCTGAGTCAAAATTATATTAGGAAAGTTTAGAGATTTTGTTTATGTATTTTTGGTATAGAACAATAAGGAGAATCCGGTATTACTTACCAAATTCTATAGTTTATCTCTTTCCTTTTTTGTGGAGGATTCTCCTCTAATTAATTGATTTAGGACTGGGATTAATGGCTGGAATAATACAACCATCTCTTGTATATCCCTATCAAACTTTCAAGGTATCCGAGCCGCCATACCTCTAGAGAAAAGAAACCCTAGTTCTCTAATTTCCTGAATCCGGCATGACCAAATTTGGCATGGCTACTGAGAGACAAAGCACTTCCTCATCCAAAGTAACCTCAAATCCGGAAATTGCAGCAGTAGCAAGCAATCATGGAGGTATGACGGAGAACTCCACTCTTCTTATCACGGGTCACAAATTCAACGACCATAACTATCTTCAATGGTCTCAATCCGTGATGATAAAGACAAAGATGAGTACCTCACGGGTGAAGTCAGCGCCCCTGAGAAGAATGATCCCAAATTCGCGGTATGGAATACCGAGAATCACATGGTGAAGTCTTCATTGATTAATTCCATGAATAATGAAATAGGAGAAAATTTCCTTTTGTATGGGACAAGGAGATTTAGGATGCTGCTAGAGAAACGTACTCAAGTTCTGAGAACACTTCAGAATTATTTTAAATTGAAACGGTTCTGCATGACCTGTTTGAAACCTACGTGTGGAAATGCCCTCAAGACCCTGCTTTATACAAGAAGATTGTCGAGCAAAAATGAAAATTCAAATTCCTTATTGGACTCAACAAGGATTTGGATGAAGTTTGAGGGAGAGTGATGGGAACCAAGCCTCTATCGAGTGTTAGGGAGGCATTCTCAGAAGTACGATGTGAAGAAAGTAGAAGAAAGGTGATGATGGAAGCCCAAGACCACGCTCTAACGCTTGAAGGATCTGCCCATGCAGCCCAAAGACCTCCAGTGATCAACAACAATGATAGCAGACAAAGAAAATGAAGGTCATGGTGTGATCACTACCGCAATCCAGGACACTTGAGAGAAAATTGCTGGAAACTTCATGGGCAGTCTGCTGATTGGAAGCCCTCAAGACCAGGGAATGACAGAGAAAGCCGTGCAAACACTGCAACCAAAGATAAGAATCCTATTTCCCCAGAGACAAGTCCTTTCACGAAGGAACGACTTGATGTTTTAGAAAAACTCTTTAGCCAGAATCTCTTGTCTCAGCCGAGTACCTCTACTTCTAGCATGACCAAATTTGGCATGGCTACTGAGAGACAAAGCTCTTCCTCATCCAAAGTAAACTCAAATCTAGAAATTGCAACAGTAGCAAGCAGTCATGGAGGTACAACAGAGAACTCATCTCTTCTTATCACGGGTCACAAATTCAACGTCCATAACTATCTTCAATGGTCTCAATCTGTGATGATGTTTACATGTGAGAAAGACAAAGACGGGTACCTTACCGATGAAGTCAGCGCCCCTGAGAAGAATGATCCCAAATTCAGGGCATGGAAAACTGAGAATCACATGGTGATGTCTTCGTTGATTAATTCCATGAATAATGAAATAGGAGAAAATTTTCTTTTGTATGGGACAAGGATATTTGGGATGCTGCTAGAGAAATGTACTCAAGTTCTGAGAACACTTCAGAATTGTTTCAATTTGAAACAGTTCTACACAACCTATGCCAGGGGGATCTCACAGTTACTCAATATTTCAACACCCCCACTCCATATTGGCAAGACATGTTTGAAACCTACGTGTGGAAATGCCCTCAAGACACTGCTTTATACAAGAAGATTGTGGAGCAGAAACAGAAATTCAAATTCCTTCTCAGACTCAACAAGGATTTGGATGAAGTTCGAAGGAGAGTGATAGGAACTAAGCCTCTGTCGAGTGTTAGGGAGGCATTCTCAGAAGTACGGCGTGAAGAAAGTAGAAGAAAAGTGATGATGGGAGCCCAAGACCACACTCTAACTCTTGAAGGATCTGCCCTTGCAGCCCGAGGACCTCTAGTGATCAACAACAATGATAGTTGACAAAGAAAATTAAGGCCATGGTGTGATCACTGTAGCAAATCAGGACACTTGAGAGAAAATTGTTGGAAACTTTATGGGAAGTCTGCTGATTGGAAGCCCTCACGACCAGGGAATGACAGAGAAAGTCGTGCAAACACTACAACCAAAGACGAGAATCCTATTTCCCCAGAGACAAGCCCTTTCACCAAGGAACAGCTTGAGGTTTTTCTAAAACTCTTTAGCCAGAATCTCTTGTCTCAAGCTCTCAGCCGAGTACCTCTACATCTGGAAGTGGCATGTTTGCACATAAAGGTAATTTTTCAAATGCTCTCACAATCAACAAAAGACATCCAAGCACGTGGATTATTGACTCTAGAGCTTCAGATCATATGACGGGAAATGCAACCATCTTTTATGAGAATAGTCCGTGTAATGAGAATTATACAGTCTGAATTGTTGATGGATCCCTCTCAAAAGTTGAGGGAACAGGCTCAGTCCAGATTACAAAGGACTTAACTCTGAACACTATCATACATGTTCCTAATTTAGACTGCAATTTACTCTCTATCAGTAAATTGACTCATGATCTTAACTGTGTGTCTAAATTTTTCTCAAACATGTGTGAATTTCAAGAATTAGATTCTGGGAGGAAGATTGGCAGTGCTGAGATGTGTTCTAAACTCTATCTCCTCAAAGATGATGGAACCTTAAGAAGACAAGCTCAATCTGCAAAATGTGTATTTCAAGAGTCAGTCAGTTTTAAATTCCAGTGTCAATAAAGATAGTGAGGTTATGTTGCACTATTGTCTTGGTCATCCAAATTTCATATATCTTAAGAAAATGTTTCCTTCTTTATTCATCAATAAAAGTTCAAGTTTCTTCAAATGCAAAATTTGTCTACTGGCCAAACACACTCGCATTGCCTATCCTAGTCTTCCATATAAACCATCCCGACCTTTTATTATGATTCACAGTGATGTATGGGGACCCTTAAAGGTTAAAAATATAACAAGAACTCAATGGTTTGTATCATTTGTAGATGATCACACCAGACTAAACTGGATATTTCTTATGAAAGAAAAATATGAGGTTGGTCAAATCTTTCAAAATTTCAATTCCATGATACAAACACAATTCAACACCAAAATTCAAGTCCTGAAAACTGACAATGCCAAGGAATACTTCAAAACTATCCTAGGTGATTATCTCATACGTCAGGGCATTGTTCATCTGAGTTCTTATGTTGACACTCCCCAACAAAACGGGGTAGCAGAAAGAAAAAATAGACACTTGTTAGAGGTCACTCGGTCTCTCATGTTCTAAAACATTTATGGAAAAAAGCAGTCCTTACAGCATCATATCTCATCAATAGAATGCCTTCCAGAGTCCTAAAATTCAAAACTCCGTATCAGGTTCTTCTTCAAAACTTCCCACATACAAAAATTCTCTCTTCATTAGATCTTAAAGTATTTGGATGTTCATCATTTGTTCACATACATCAACACCACCATAGCAAATTGGACCCTAGATCCATCAAATGCATTTTTCTTGGATACTCCTCAAACCAAAAGGGTTATAAGTGTTATTCACCCATCACCAAGAAAGTCTACCACTTAATGGTTGTGACCTTCTTTGAACATCAATCTTATTATCCAAAACCTAAAATTCAAGGGGAGAATATGAGAGAATATTAGTTTTGGGACACTCCTAATGACATTCAACATTCACCTCCTCCTCAGTCCGGGGATTCCATTCTTCCATTTTAACCCGGGAATGTACTCCAAGTTCCAGATCAACCCGAAAAATCATTCCCAATCTGAGAACCATTCTCTTGTAGACTGACCTCAATCTCCAGTCACCACTCCAATCCGTAATCACTCAATGTCATCACCACCACAAAATGCAAGTCTTGAGCTTCGTGTCTATACTAGGAGGAAAAAAATCCGAAAAGGAGATAGAGCACTCAACATAACTCACACATGACCAAGAATCTGAGCCGAGTCCTTCTCCTACTCAAATTCACTCAGGTAATGGAATCCTTGATCTTGAAATTGCTGCTCCCACTATTGATGATATAAGTATTCCAATTGCTTTATGAAAGGGTGTACGGACATACACAAATCATCCCATTTGCAGATTTGTTTCTTATGAAGGATTGTCACCATCCTACCAGATGTTTGTCTCTATTCTTGATAGTGTGCAAGTTCCTAATTCTATTTCTAGAATGGAGGAAGGCAGTTGGTGAAGAAATCAGGGCTTTAGAGAAAAGTGGTACTTGGGTGATCTCAGATCTTCCTCCTGGAAAGAAACCTGTTAGCTATAAGTGGATTTTCACTATCAAACAAAAGGTTGATGGAAGTGTAGAAAGACTAAAAGCTTGAATTGTAGCTAAAGGTTTTAGTCAGTCCTATCGAATAGACTATCAAGAAATATTTGCTCCAGTGGCCAAACTCAACACTATCAGAGTACTCTTCTCTTTAACAGCAAATCAAGATTAGCCATTACATCAACGAGATATCAAGAATGCATTCCTGAACGGAGATCTAGAATAGGAGGTGTATATGGAGATACCACCGGGACTGGAAACCTCTTTCAGTAATAACCAGGTGTGCAGACTTAAGAAATCACTATATGGACTTAAGCAATCCCCTTGTGCATGGTTTGACAGGTTTGCTAAGACAGTGATCAGGAATGGATATACTCAATGTGAGGCAGATCATACATTGTTTGTGAAGTTCTCTCCAGGAAAGAAAATAGCAGTACTGATTGTGTATATAGATGATAGCATTCTAATAGGTGACTATGAGGAGGAACTATTAAGATTAAAGAAGCTGCTCGCCAAGGAATTTGAGATCAAAGACCTCAGGTATCTGAGGTATTTTCTGGGCATGGAGTGGCTCGATCAAAAAAATGTATATTTGTCTCCCAACGGAAATGTCTTAGATTTACTAAAGGAGACATGTATGCTTGGATGTAAACCTGCAGATACTCCAATGGATCCAACTAAGAAGATAAGGACTGAAAAAGATAGTGCACTAGTTGACAGGGAGAGATATCAGAGACTTATAGGCGGACTCATCTATCTTTCACACACCCGACCTGATATTAGTTTTTCTGTTAGTGTTGTAAGTCAATTTATGAACAACCCAACAGAAGAACATATGGACGCTGTTAATAGGATTTTGCGGTATCTTTAGATGACTCCAGGCATAGGTCTACTATACAAGAAGAATGACAACATAAATGTAGAAGTCTATACAGATGCAGACTGGTCAGAAGATGTGTCAGACAGACGATCAACATATGGGTATTGTTCCTATGTTTGGAGAAATTTAGTAACATGGAGGAGGAAGAAACAACCCGTGGTCTCAAGAAGCGGTGCATAAGCGGAATTTAGAGCACTCACTCTTGGCATTTGTGAGGGTATGTGGATACAAAGACTAATTGGTGAACTTGGAGTAACAATAGAAAGGCCTATTCAGATGTTCTGGACAACCAAGCTGCCATAAGTATTGCTAAGAATCTTGTTCATCATGACATGACAAAGCACATTGAGATAGATCGGTATTTCATTACAGTGAAGATTGTGAAACTGGTTTGTACTCCTACAAAGTTCCAAACTGCAGATATACTCACTAAAGCTCTTCTAAGAACTAACTTTGACATGCTGAATCACAAACTGTGTATGTACAACATCTACAACCCAGCTTGAAGATGAGTGTGGAATTCTGAGTCAAAGTTATATTAGGAAAGTTTAGAGATTTTGTTTATGTATTTTTGGCATAAAACAATTAGGAGAATCCGGTATTACTTACTAAATTCTATAGTTTATCTCTTTCCTTTTTTGTGGAGGATTCTCCTCTAATTAATTGATTTAGGACCGGGACTAATAGCTAGAATAATACCATCTCTTGTATATATATTTCTCTGTATTCCTTGTAAATGTTAAGAGAAATAAGAGTTTTTATCCCTCTCAAACTTTCAATCTTCAATACTCCTCCTTAAGCTGGAGCAAAGATACTTATGCACCTATTGAACACCAGCATCTCCAATGCAATTCTAATTTATAGTGCGAAAGCCAACTTTTAGTATTTGAGTAGGCAAATCACTCTCCAAGATAATGCTATTTTTGGTATAAAATTTAATATAAGCATATGCGAAATTTTGGGTATTATTTGCATATTGCTATTGGTGGATACGTTCACTTTTTTATTTTATCATTATAACATTTGACATTTGCTAGTTATTTTATAGCTAAAGTTTCCTTTTACAACTCTCAAAGCTTAAGATTATAAAAAAAAAGTAGATTTAGCATTTAAAAAAACATTATACAATGGAACACAAATAAAAATAGCATATTAAATATGTAACTTTCAAACTTTTTGGTGCTAAATATGACATTGGTATTAGCATTTACATTGAAGATGGTGTAAGTGTGGTTTCATATAGAAAAGGAAAGACTACACTCTAGCTGCTTGTACTCTAGGATACAATCATTAACTAATACGATGCAAGAATCAGTAAGAGTTATCTTCAAGACCTGTTCGATGCTCAAATGTTCCGGAAGATATCAACATCAAACTTAGTTTTAAATTTTTAATGAGTTAGCATCATCAAAAACCCTCCCAAGAAATTTGAAATATACAACCTTGCTTGCATGTTGGTTTGTGATTTTTGGTTTATGACGATTAGTCTGATCTTCACAAGCATAATACTAGTTTTCACTGGATGAAAAGCATATTCATTGTTGAATTTAATAACTTGCATCTTAAAAAAGCTGAGGATCCAATAAGCTTTTACCAAGTAGATTGATAATAATAATATAAAATCTTTTACCTACTATCTTGCACCTGTGTCAATTATTTTTTATTCTCCTGACATTACCTTAACATTTGGTGGCAAAATTTTTATTCAGCCAGCAGACAAGTATCCAAGTATATTTTCCAAAACTTCATTCTTTGGAAGGTAGTCTTTTGAATTTTTAAATGTGGTGCATTTTGTAATATTTCACATCTAAGGTATTCATTGTTATTCCATGATGTACCAAAATTGAATCCTTTATGCAGGTTTCCATACTTCTTGCCCTGCTTTTGCATATCAGCTTTTTCAATGGGAGTAATGATTCTTTCCTTTTGGCTTCCGGTACATATCTTATTTTATTTCTCGAATTTTCACTAAGACTCTTCCTACATATCAAATATTCGTTATTGCATTTAATCTTGGTTGGTGGGACCCTTTATAAACAAATCTTGCGTATATATACGGTATAAGCCTTTCATTTCAAAAATATATATATATATTTTTAATAAATCTGGATCCAAAAGTTCTATTTTTAGATTTCTCCACGTTGAAAACAAAGAATTTAGCATTCATTTCTTTTATATTTTATTCAAATTCAACATCAATTTCTTAGTTATATACTCCATAACTCCAATGAAGATTCATGATCGTTCATTCTATTCTAGCATGAAGTTACGTTGTACATAACATGAATAATGAAGCTTGATAATGTTCAACAGTTTTAAGTGTCTTCATAATGCTCAGATTTCTAAAGTTTCCCTTGGAAATTGAAATTAAAATCAAACATCAATTATAGTTTATATATCAAAACATATGTAGCATATTCTTACTATCTGGAGGCTCTTTAATGCTGCAATTTGCTAAAACTGCCATCTGATATTAGCTGAATTGTTTCAGGAGACATTGCACAAGCACAATGGAAAACAGAGATCACGTAGTGATTCATTTGATGCGTTGGAAACTGCACATTTTCCAACTGATGCAAATGAAAGTAGAGAGAACACTGAAGGGGATCAGAAATCTAAGAAAAGCCTTTTAAAGAACTGGCCCTTAATGTCTTCAATCATTGTTTATTGTGTTTTCGCACTTCAGGATATGGCATACATTGAGGTATTTCTCATAACTCATTTAGCTTTGGAAAATAAAACATGCGTCTTTCTTCATATACATATAAAAAAACGTATATTTGTACTTACTTCGTAAGTGAGTTCTTGCTTATTCGCATATATATATATATATATATATATATATATATAGACACACACACATATATGTTTTTAATTATCGTTTTTCTCAATGTTGTTTCCATGATGATTTAGTTCTATCTGCTTGCTTGGCTAAATGTACAAATATAAGATTCTTCAAATGGCTTCTTTAATTTCTTTGGAATATTTGATTGGCGTTACTTATCCCGGAGGAAGTTTGATGGCATCGTAATGACCAGCAAAAGCAACTGGAGTGGTTAATAATTTCCTTTCTGCAACAGATTGTAGACATTATATTTTTGCTATGATGTAGACGTTATATCATATTAAAACTTGTTTAGAGGCGTGACTGTCTAAAGTTCTTCTTCATCTTGCCTCTCTGTCTTATTGTACTTCTTTTCTTCTTATTGTTCCCTGTCCTTATTTCGTTCCATTACGCCTAATTTCTGGTGAAATTCAGATTTTCTAGACTTTTGAAAGACCTATGTAGGTAAAATCTTTTTCCTAACATCCATTCAACAAAGCTTACAAAACCTAAACCGTGCATAACGTGTTAGTATCGGAAAAACTTTTGTTGCTCTTTTGCCGTGTAGAAGATGACCGATCCCGGCCCCTGGGCGCCCAACTATGTGGGGTCGGGGACTTTTTGACAGCGTTTTACTTTTTTGTCATTTTTTGAAGCCCTTTTTTTCAGGCATGTCCAGAAAAATATTAGGATTGCGTCTTTTCTGTCTGTCTCCAGACTGGTGTTGCCTGTGTAAATGTAGTTTTAAAACTATTGATCATCTCCTTTTGCATTGCTTTTTGGCAAGAGAGTTGTGGTTTAGAGTTATGTTAGAGTTTCGATCGAGTTGGGTGGCTCCATTAAGATGTCTTGACTTGTCTATATCCTCTTATCTCTTTGTTTTTAACAAGAGGAGGGGCAAGAGGATTTGGAATACTGCTACCTCATTGTTCTTTGCTCAATGAAGTGTGGTTGCTTTCAAAATAGAAACAAAAAGTACCGGAACAACTTGCAATGTGTTTACCAATTACATCTATATAATTTTTTTGTTGATGGAATTACATCTTTATAAGTTAATATTTTTTCTGTGCATAAAATTATTTCTATTAGCACAATTGAAATGTTATATATCACCTGAACTGATTTACAGATATCAATTATTAATTATGCTCCGATAGAGATAGAGATCCCTATGCGCTCGCACATATTTTCTTCATTGGTTTCTATCTCTAGTTCTTTAACTGTGGTCTATGTGGAAACCACTTTTTTCCCTTCAGATTTTCTCATTATGGGCTGTGAGTCCATGCAAATTTGGCGGTCTGAATTATACGACGGACACTGTTGGTGAGGTTCTTGCTATCTCAGGTAAGCATTTGACTGTTTCCATATCCCTGTACATGTCACGATATGCGTATGGCATCGCATAACCTGCTTATGGAAAGGCATACATTGTCGTGATACGTCACGTTTAAACGCGTATGGCATTGTCGGTTCATTTCACTATCACCATTACAAACTTAAAACTATGATCCTTTTTTGTTCCTTGTTGGTTCCCTGTGTGTTTTTTGCTACTAGTTAGTCTGGTATGGAAGTTACTTTGTTTCCGAATAGAAGTTGTAGTTCATTCTTCAATTGTGAATTAATGGTAATCAATAGGCGATAGCATTTGTGCTTTGTTTATTATACTTTGTTCATCAATGCCTTTGATATGTTCTAAAGTTTATGGTTGTTGCTGATTTTAAATTTCATAATATTTTTCCTGTTAACTGCTAATGCATTTTACTTTGAGATTCCAATCGAACAAACAATTTAACATGATTTCCTTTAAGGCAAATTGTTCACCACTTGATTATTATAACATATTCCACTATCACTGACAACAATTTTTTTTAGGCTTCTCTCTTGTCACCTTTCAACTTTTCCTATATCCATTTCTCGAAAAGACGTTTGGTGCCATTCTAGTCTGCCGCATCACAGGGGTGATTACTAAGCCTTTTCTATACTTGTGTACTTCTATTATCACCCGTTTTCCTCGAGCCATATGTAAAAATTTTCTTTGCTGATTTTTGGTTCTGTTTGCCCATATGCAGGTCTTAAATATACTCCTATTGGCAGGTTACCCATTTTTGGCGTCATTGTCGGGGTTAACACTTTTCCTAGTGTTAACCGTTGCATCTGTGGCAAGGAATGCCCTAAGTGTAAGTGAATAAACAACGAGAAGATTTCTTGTGACATGATTCATCATAAGAAGCTTTCCAAATGATCAACTAAGAAGTGCCAAAAAGGTTTAGATTCGAAGGCATATGGTTTAGAAAGGTAATTGAAAGGTTGTAGATGGAAAGATGAGATTTAAGTGTTAAAATCTGATGGGAAAGTTTCAGCCTTTTTTTCTGGACAGCTGATACAATGTGGATGCTAAGAGAATTTTAACTGAGAGAAGGGTTTTATAGCATGAGTCTAGAAACATATGAAAGTTGGGTATTGTTGGAATTTGGACTGCTTTTCCATTTCATCAATATCAAGTTTTTTGTCTTTAGAAACACTTTTAGGAACATTTAGATGGTGTTTTTCACAAAGCTAGGTGTTTTGAAAGGTTTAGGTGTCGCTAGAAATCGGAATTGATACGTAGAAATAAAAACGGGAGTGATCTACATGGAAATTGGACAGGACAAGAAAAACAAAGGCTGTGTTTGGAGTTAGTTTTGTTTTTATTTTTCACATTTTTCGATAAAGAAAAAATAAAAATGGGAGAGAAACGTCGTTTGACATAATTAAAAATAAAAAACAGAAATGAAAACGATTTTTTAGTTTAGTGTAAAATGAGAAACAAATGAAAAATGACTTTTAGTTATTTTTCATTTTTTGTTTCTGTTTTCTCTTCTCTCGAGCACAGAGAGAAAGACATTAATGGATTTTTTTATACTGAAAATAATTTCTTGATAAAATTACTAAACGCATTTTCAAAAATGATTTCTGTGTGAAATTGAAAGCATTTTCATTTTTATTTTCATACAAAAAATAAAATTATTTTGGAACAAATTCTAAACGCACTCAAAGTTATCATCTCCCCTCTTGGTTTGTGCGTTTCTGATTAATTTTTAATGTTTTCTTGTTTTTGAATACCAGCTGTCACTAGTAACTGGTTTGTACATCCTGCAAAACAGAGCTGTGGTAATTTTCATTCTTGGTGTACCTCTTTTTTATGGTTTTCCTCCTTGGTTTCGTATTATCACTTGTCAAATCGCTTCCTTTACTTGATTTAACTTGATTGCATGATTTATCAACACCAGGATCAAGATCAAAGAGGAGCTGCTAATGGCCTTTCAATGACCGGAATGTCCGTGTTTAAAGCCGTTGGCCCGGCCGGAGCTGGTGCACTGTAAGTTAGCTTTCTCTGTGAAAGAAACTAGAAAGGGGAAGCCATAATCCGCACGTGATATGAGAAGTATTCATATATGCTGAAATGCACGTTCAACAATACTTCCGACAAATAAAATCGATTTCGTTTATGAAAGCTTGGAACCCCGTTTCTCTCAACTGTTGTCCATTGTGCTTTGTGATTCCATTTTAGCACCAGTAGATGGAGCATATATATAGCCTTGAATGTTTAAATAACGGAAACATGAAGAGCAGAAACTGATTATGAATTTGATTTGTACTAGATTCCATTATTTCCCTCCTTAGTTTTACCATTCCTAATCGAACCGATAAATCCTTCACGCCGATCCCTGTTTCTACATCCTGTCCTCCTAGACGGACCGTAAATTACGAGCACATTGCAGCATGTAACTGTGGCCTGTTACTTCACTACTAATACACATGTTTGCTTGTTTCTTATGGTCTTATGATCTTCTTGGTCTCCACAGGTTCTCTTGGGCAGAAAAGCGCCGAGATGCCTCCTTCCTACCCGGTATGCCATTCAACTTACTCAAATCCTTGACTCTTATAAGAAATACATACTATGCGGTATAATTTTCTTGCCTCTATTTTCTTTTTCTTTTTCTTCTCTACACATAGATGGTGTGGAGATTGAGACTTCTAGGAAGTTTAGGTATCTTGAGTCTATAGTGCAGTACGAAGGAGATATAGAAGATGATATTCAACATAGGATTAAAGTAAGGTGAGTTAAGTGGAAGAATGCTACGAGAGTTTTATATGATGGCAAGATGCCTATTAAGTTGAAAGAAAAGTTCTATAGGACTGTATTTCGTCCAGCTATGTTATATGGTAGTGAATGTTGGGCCATTAAGAGACAACATATATCTAAGATGAGTATGACAGAAATGCGTATGTTAAGATGAATGAGTTGCCATACGAGAGTTGACCGCATAAGGAATGAAGTTATTTGTAGTAAAGTAGGTGCAACACCAATAGAGGATAAGGTGCGCGAAGGCCGCTTGAGGTGATACGAGCATGTCCAACGAAGACCGCTAGAAGCACTAGTTCGTGCTTGAGAGGACATTCTTATACTTAATATTAAGAGGAGGGGTAAACCAAGAATTACGTTGACCGAAGTCGTTAGGAAAGACATTCTAAATCTAGGCATTTAGGAAAATTTAATTTCGAACAGAGCTATGTGAAAAAGTGAAATCCATATAACCGACCCTAATTAAGTTGAAATTAAAGCTTCTTGTTGTTGTCGTCGTCGTCTTCTCTACGCATGTGCCATTTTCACCATACTAGAGGTGGTTGTCATGTTTCTTCATGTGCGTTCTTTAATCTTTACTATATCTTCTTTAACCTCTCTGAATTATAGAAGAATTTTTGTGCGTCTTTAAATTTTCACCTGAAAGAAAAGTCTCCTCTTTTCAAGCATCATCCTTCTTCCCCTCCCTCTTCCAATTTTCATTCTCCTAACAAATGAAAAGTTGACAGTCTAGCTTCGAGATCATTTGATATAAAATTATTATCGACTCACCTCTTGGTATAAGTTCTAAGAAAAAAAAGAATTAAAATGATATTAGATGAGGAGATCCTGAGTTTTCAGATTCTATTCTGGCATACTTCCTATCAAAATTTATAGAGTAGTCTCATTAGAACAACTTCAACAATAATCGACTGACTAACCATTATGATGACCAAAACATATCATGTATTAAAAAAAAAAAAAAAGATCATGTGGGTACATAATTCTTACATCCTCTACTGTCAAAAAAATTTTGTGCTGCTTGAAAATATGTTGCTTTGCCTTGACCTAGAAATCATGTTACCTTTCTCCTGTAGTGTAGAAATAATTGTCACGCGAACTATATTGTTGAATTAACTTAGTAGCTTATGAGATTATAAGTTTTACACCGCTAATTATAATGCAGGTACTCACATGGTTTTCTTCGTCCTGAATGTGGTTCAGACAATTGGAGTGATCTTGACATTTAAACCATTTCTAGCAACACGACAGTAAATGGCTTTGGATGAAATTTGTGCCCAACCATTTACATTAGTAGTGTTATAAATGAGCAACCTCGTAACCCCACCAGATGACCCGTGGTAATTTGTTAGATCACTCGGGATCCTATAAATAAGCAACCTCCGGACTTTATTTTTATTTTTGTATGTTTGATATACAGTATAAGCACTCTATATTGTATTGTTTAATAACAATATTTGGTGATATCTATACATTGCACAATTTAATATGAGATTCAAAATTTAATACAATATGAAGTGTGAGATTTAATACCGAAAAAAATTTATGTACTAGACCGTATTATACAATTTAACTTAAAATAGAATATTAAAAACATATAAAATATTTTACAAATATCACGGCTTTGAATTGGCTTTTGGGACCAACGTTAGGGCCGGGTTTCGGGATTAGAGTAATGTTGAGTTTATATTTTTAAAAAATTACATTTGACCTCTAATCTTTTTAAAAATTATATTTTAACCCTTAAAATTTTTTAAAAATTATGTTTTGACCTTTAAATTTTTAAAAATTATATTTTGGCTATCAACTTTTTTAAAATTATATTTTTGCCCTTCATTTTTTGAAAATTACAATTTAACCCCATTTTAAAATTTTTTATTTTTTATTTTTACAAAAATACTAATATGTAGTAACTCTACTTTATCTTTTGCTCTAAATATTGAGTTCAAAATTAGAATTGAATTAGGTTGTGATTAGACTTAAATTTTATCTTATTACAAATTAATACATAAATAAATTAAAATAATATTTTTAATATAATATTTAATAATATAATCAACTAAATACCGTATTATACAATACAATACAATACTATACGATATAATATAATATAATATAATATGATGCATCAAACATGTTTTTTTTTTTTGGGAATTCTTTCGGATTATTTTCTTGAAGGTTCTGGAAGAAGGTTAAAGAGAATATAGGCTTTGATTACTTTTTCATAAAGTTAAAATACTAAAATAAAAAGAAAGTAAAAACAAAAAAAACAAAAACAAAAAAACAAAACAGCCCTAAAGAAAAAGAAAAAAAAAAAAAAAAAAAAAAACCCCGCGATTGTTTTCATTGTTCTTTCTCTCCTCCTCCCCGTATTTTTTTTTTTTTTTTTAATCTCCCAAATCCCTCTCTCTCCATCTAATCACCAATTTAACTCACCACTGTCTCTGCTGCGCCGCCGACCTCAACCCACGCCGATATTTTGGTTCGCCTCGCCGCTTCTCTCTCATTTCTTATTCATTCTTGATTTGGTCTCAAATGTTTCCCTCCTTTGTTTTTCTCCTAACAATTTGTCCTAGCGAACTTCCAACTTGCCTAAATTTTGTAAATTGCTGGTTCCTAATTTTGCTTTCGTTGTGTGCGGGTAATGGAAATTGAAAACAACTGGGACGTTTGAAAATTTTTTCATGCAACAATTTGTACAACTAGGGTTCCCATTACGTTTACAGCAGCACAACCTAAAGCAAATCTTCTTCTTTCTTCTTCCATTTCGCTGCCCTCGTCTAAGAATCTGGTGAAATTCTCATCTTTAATGTCGGATTAATACTATATGTTCACGTCCTAAGGGGGCGTTTGATACGGGGTAATCACAGGAGTGGGAATGAGAATTTTTCATGTTTTCATGATACAATTATTAAATTTTTTTAAAACCTAAAAAAATAAAACCCATGAATTTTACATTATCCCATTATAAGATAATCCTAAACCCACTCAATAGGGTGTGATTATATTTACGGGAAACAATTTGCCAGACCCATTCTCACCCACGCATCTCACCCATCTCTCTCTCTCGTCCAGACCCAGCACCGCTTCCGTCGAGGACGCCGCCGCCTTCTTCCGATCAACCACGCCGTTGCCGGACTTTCCTCTGCCGCCACCACCAGAGTATGATTCCTTTTTTTCTCCTTTTTCTGTGAAAATTTTTTTATCTGAACTTTCCGATTTGTGTTAATTTTTTATCTGAACTTGAAAATCTCACTGGGTTTGAACCAGAACGTCGTCGGCGCATCTGGGTTTGAACCAGAACGGCCACGATTTTTTCACCCTTTTTTGTCCCTTGCTATTTCTCCCCATCGATTGCATAGATTGCTATTTCTCCCCATCGGCGCATCTGGGTTTGAACCAGAACTTGAAAATTAACACAATCCTTTTTTGTTTTCCTCCCCATCGATTTTTTGTCCCTTGCTATTTCTCTTTACCTCCACGACTAAAACATAAGTTGAACCCAATGAAATCGGAGGAATTGGGGGTAGAGTTCTGCTGCTGAGTTTCAACTGAGGAATTGGAAGTAACGCCACCTTCGATTGCGCTCTCTCCTTCTGGTCCCTGCGCTCCTTTCTTCTATCCCCAAAAGGAATAACAAAAAGAGAAAAAAAAAATTTAAAGATTGTAATTTAAATTGTCGTGAACTATTCATCTTTCTATTAGTCTGTTTCTCTCTCTGACTCTTTCTGATTTCTGCATTTTTTTTCTTTGTTTTGTATAAATGTTCTTATTTCTCACGCTTCATTTACAACTTAATTTATGCCCACAAAATTGTATGTAAATATGAACAAAAGTCCTTGCCTTTGGGAGCGTTATACAAGTTTCTGACCTCTGTTATCCTTGCAGATAGGCTTTGATTATCTTCATCAATGGCTGCCACAGATGAGGGTCTAAAGAAGCTCGAATATTTATCACTGGTCTCCAAGGTCTGCACTGAGCTTGAGAACCACTTAGGCTTTGGAGACAAGGTTCTGGCTGAGTTCATAACTGAGATGGGTCAAAACTGTGATACCGTCGATGAATTCGATGCCAAGTTGAAGGAAAATGGAGCTGAAATGCCGGATTACTTTGTCCGTACTTTGTTAACTATAATCCACGCCATCCTTCCCCCAAAGCCCAAGTCTGAGAAGGATTTGAAGATAGATAATGATTCTGATGGTAATAAGACGAAGTATGGAGCATTGGCTATAGCTGATAATAAGGATAGAGCGAAAGAGCTTGAGAAGGAAATTGAGGCGGAGGCTCGGAAGAGGCGTAGAGAAGAACGGGATGAAGACCGAGAAGAAAACAGGTATCGAGGTAGAGATAGGGACAGAGACAGAGAAAGAGATAGAGACAGAGATAGGGACAGAAATGGAGAAAGAAATAGAGATAGAGATAGAGATAGAGATAGGGACAAGGACAGGGACAGAGATAGGCGCGGAGATAAATATGGCGGGGAAGCAAAGCGCAAGGAAAAGGACGATTATGCCGATGATGTTGATAGAGGGAGGCATAGAGATCGATATGAAGTGAATAGAAGAGGTGGATATGGTGAGAATGGGGATTTTACGGGACATGATGATGATCGGAGAGGTAGTAGGGACTCGAGGAATGGGCGGTCCCATTCCGATGAGCCTGAACTGTATATGGTCTATAAGGGCAGGGTGTCGAGAGTAATGGACAGTGGGTTCTTTGTCCAATTGAATGACTTCAGGGGTAAGGAGGGTTTGGTCCACGTGTCACAGATTGCAACCCGGCGAATTACTAATGCGAAAGATGTTGTGAAGAGGGATCAAGAGGTTTATGTGAAGGTGATTTCAGTGTCAGTTCAGAAGTTGAGCCTTTCAATGAGGGATGTTGATCAGAATACGGGGAGGGATTTGCTTCCCATGAAAAAGAGCTCAGAGGATGATGCTTTTCGGACAAATCCATCTGGGTCCAAGGAGGGGCCTGTGACTAGAACCGGAATATCTGGTATTAGGATTTTGGAAGAGGATGATCTTGGGTCTTCACGCCGACCCTTGAAGCGCATGAGCTCTCCAGAGAAATGGGAAGCTAAGCAGTTGGTAGCCTCTGGTGTTTTCAGCATTAATGAGCATCCTATGTACGATGAAGAAGGAGATGGATTGCTGTATCAGGAAGAGGGTGCAGAGGAAGAGCTTGAGATCGAGCTAAATGATGATGAACCGGCTTTTCTGAATGGCCAGAGTAGGTATTCAGTGGATATGTCACCTGTGAAAATCTTTAAGAATCCAGAAGGGTCATTGAGTCGGGCAGCTGCACTTCAATCTGCTCTCATTAAGGAGCGTAGGGAAGTACGGGAGCAGCAGCAACGAACTATGCTGGATTCCATTCCCAAGGATCTCAATCGTCCATGGGAAGATCCAATGCCAGAGACGGGTGAGAGGCATCTTGCACAAGAGCTTAGGGGTGTTGGTTTGTCGGCCTATGACATGCCTGAGTGGAAGAAGGATGCTTTTGGGAAAACAATCAGTTTTGGGCAGAGGTCAAAGCTCTCAATTCAGGAACAAAGGCAGAGCTTGCCCATATACAAGCTGAAAAAAGAACTCGTTCAGGCAGTGCATGATAATCAAGTTCTGGTCGTCATTGGTGAGACTGGCTCCGGTAAAACTACCCAGGTCACACAATATCTTGCTGAAGCCGGTTACACTACAAAGGGCAAAATCGGATGCACTCAGCCCCGTAGAGTGGCTGCAATGTCTGTGGCCAAGAGGGTTGCAGAAGAATTTGGTTGTCGCTTGGGTGAGGAAGTTGGGTATGCAATTCGTTTCGAAGATTGTACTAGTCCAGATACGGTCATCAAGTACATGACTGATGGTATGCTTCTAAGGGAGATTTTGATTGATGAGAATCTTTCTCAGTACTCTGTGATCATGCTTGATGAAGCTCATGAGAGGACAATCCATACTGATGTTCTCTTTGGACTGCTAAAGAAACTTGTGCAGCGGAGACCAGATCTTCGTTTAATTGTAACGTCTGCCACTCTGGATGCGGAGAAGTTTTCAGGTTATTTCTTTAACTGTAACATCTTCACCATCCCTGGTCGAACGTTTCCCGTGGAGATCCTCTACACCAAACAACCAGAAAGTGATTACCTAGATGCTGCTCTAATCACAGTCTTACAAATCCACTTGACTGAACCTGAAGGTGATGTCCTTCTTTTTTTAACTGGACAAGAGGAGATCGACTTTGCCTGCCAATCTCTATATGAGAGAATGAAAGGCTTAGGTAAAAATGTTCCGGAATTGATTATCCTACCCGTCTATAGTGCACTTCCTAGTGAAATGCAATCGAGGATATTTGACCCTGCTCCTCCCGGGAAGAGGAAAGTGGTTGTTGCTACTAACATTGCTGAGGCATCATTGACCATTGATGGCATATTCTATGTCATTGACCCTGGATTTGCGAAGCAAAATGTGTATAATGCAAAGCAAGGTTTGGATTCGCTGGTAATAACTCCAATTTCTCAAGCATCAGCCAAGCAGCGAGCTGGCCGAGCTGGTCGTACAGGCCCTGGAAAATGTTACCGCCTTTATACTGAAAGTGCGTACCGTAATGAGATGTCTCCTACATCAATTCCTGAAATTCAAAGAATAAACCTTGGATCGGTTACACTCTCTATGAAAGCGATGGGTATAAACGATCTCTTATCTTTTGATTTTATGGACCCACCTGCACCCCAAGCTCTCATTTCTGCCATGGAGCAGCTCTACAGTTTAGGTGCACTGGATGAAGAGGGGCTTCTGACCAAATTGGGCAGGAAGATGGCCGAGTTCCCTCTTGAACCACCATTATCTAAGATGCTACTTGCTAGTGTGGACCTTGGATGCAGTGAAGAGATCTTGACTATCATTGCTATGATTCAGACAGGCAATATCTTTTACAGGCCTCGTGAAAAACAAGCCCAAGCAGATCAGAAGAGGGCCAAGTTTTTCCAACCAGAGGGAGACCATCTGACTTTACTTGCTGTCTACGAGGCCTGGAAAGCTAAAAACTTTTCCGGGCCATGGTGTTTTGAGAATTTTGTCCAGTCTCGATCCTTGAGGAGAGCACAGGATGTCAGAAAACAGCTTCTCAGCATCATGGATAAGTATGATCCCGATCTTTTCCCTGTACATTACATTTTCTCTCTTTTTTGACTTGAAAAGGCTTTCTATACATTGATTATTACGTTACCTTGTGCACCAGACGTTCCATTTTCTTTATTGCTCTTCTATATCTTGGTTGGTTGATGTGTAGTTTTGTTGGTTGATTGATACGAAGAGACCTACAAATTAAGGTTCAACTTTTTTCAACTTAGCTCTATCTGTGGATTGGCATGTTGTTTGTCTTCACATTTGAAAGAAACTGACGAATCGTATCCTGTAGTAATTTTGATACCATAATGCTTATAAATGGAATGTTTGTTGCGTGAAATCATCCAGCCTTTTTGTCAAAATAGGAAATATAGTTTGCTGCATCCAACTATTCATCAGTCATATTAGTGGTTTTAAGGTCAATAATCGTTATGCTTGAATCTTCCAAAAAATCTTCCAACTCAATCATGCTGTGACAACACTGGCACTGTCATCAGACTTTTGTATACCTGCGAATTATCCTGTTTGTTTTAGTTCTTATAACAGAGAAGTTTGATTTTGTTTCTAGTAGCGACACTTGTTTGCACAATCTTTGTTAGTAGTTACGAAGAACTGAATTGCTGATATTTCGTTTCAGGTATAAATTGGACGTTGTGAGTGCAGGAAAGAATTTTACGAAGATCAGAAAGGCAATAACAGCAGGATTTTTCTTCCACGGGGCTAGAAAAGACCCGCAGGAGGGTTACAGAACTCTGGTTGAGAATCAGCCAGTCTACATCCACCCAAGCAGCGCTCTTTTCCAACGACAACCAGACTGGGTCATTTACCATGAGCTTGTTATGACTACAAAAGAGTATATGCGAGAGGTCACCGTTGTAGACCCAAAATGGCTTGTTGAATTGGCGCCGAGATTCTTCAAAGTGGCGGATCCTACAAAGATGAGTAAGCGCAAGCGTCAAGAGCGTATTGAGCCGCTCTATGATCGATACCATGAACCTAACTCTTGGCGTTTGAGTAAGAGACGTGCTTGATTTGTGTCCATTACCTTGTTTCTTTCTTTCTCATCATGTGTTTCACCACTTCAGTGCCATCTAAACACACTGAATGTACAAGAGTTGAGGCAGGCTTGAAATTGTAGAAATAGTAAAGTTGGTATGCGCAGACTGGCTTAAAATATGCTACACCTGCCAACTGTTTTAGATGGCATTTTCATTTTTGTTTCTTGTTGTAAATGTCAATAAACTACAAATTTCATGAGGTTAGTTTAGTACTTGTTAGTGTTGATACTTGAGGAACCCCTGACTCGCATAATATGTTTTCCCAAATGGTTGACTCAATTTTGTCTTTGTTGAGCCTTGGATTGAAGGTCTCTGTCCAAGTGTGGCGTTTTTGGTTATAATTAACAAACATATATATATATATATATATATTTGATTGTGAAATATAATTGTACGTAGCTTTTGTGTTGTAAACTCACTCTAATAGATCGATATTTGACACTGATTTTTTTTAATAATTATTTTACTCAGCTGAGAATGTTTTCATAAATTATTCTGCATTAGACTGAAGAAATTTACTTTCCGCAAAGAAAATAGCCAAACTGGAAATACTAAAGTTGATATTTGTTCTTTGGGTTTAGTTAGGTTATCAAATATGTAGTAGCTCAGTATAAAATATCGAATATGAAAGTTTTTCTCACTAGGAGTTCTCCTTAAAAAAATTAATAAATTAAAGGTTCTACTTCTCATAAAACTCCATAAAAAGAAAAAGAGAGTATACCAACAATACATATATTTTTTAAATCAATTAGTATTCCACGTCAAAACAATGACTAAATGAAATGATAACTTTTTTTTTTTTATAGCACTAAAAATGTATTTCAAAGATAATAACACTGATTTTTATTATTATTTTTTTCTTCTGTATCAGTTCATGTTAGATAATTTTAGAAATTATAGTAATTACCAACCGTCATGATAGTACTGTATTGTACGATTACTTGACTTAAACCAGAGTCATTTATAAAATACGTCTTTTTTATTAATTTCATAAAAAAATTTAACCCAAATAAAAATTACAATCAACAAAACAGAATCCTAATAACAAGCATATAGTTAGTTCCATGTTTAGCACGTCTTCAACAGATTTCCCTTTTGCTTGCGTGATTTGAGTCAGAACGTCCTTTGCTTCTTGCAAGTATTATTAGACGACTCCATATTCTTTTAATCCTTTGCCATAGGCGACTCAACCTCCATATCTTCGGGTGCATTTAGAATTCGTTATGAAATGATTTTATTTTTTTGTATGAAAATAAAAATGAAAACGTTTTTAATCTCAAACAGAAATTATTTTTAAAAATACGTTTAATAGTTTTATCAAATATATTGTTTTCAGTGTAAAAAAACTCATTAATGTTTCTCTCTCTCTGTTCGAGAGAGGACAAAACGAAAATAAAAAATGAAAAATGACTAAAAGTCGTTTTTCATTTCTCTATCATTTTATACTAAACTAAAAAATCATTTTTATTTTTATTTTTATCTTTATTGCGTCAAACGCCGTTTTGAAAACGTTTTTTTTTTTTTTTTTAACCGGAAAAATAAAAACATGATCAATTTCAAACATAGCCGAAGTGATATCTGATATCTCTGAGTTGATGGAAATCTAATTCCCTTTTCCTACAACATGATACAGCATTGACCGCCGAGCCTCGCTGAAGATCTGAGGGCTGTGAGCTTGTTTGTTGGTTTTGTTGACGTATCAAACATACGAGGCAGGTATTGAAAAAACCCGAGCGGAACACCGTCATCATTGCGCGGTGGTTTTGTGCAGTTGTTTCCTATCCACGGTGATCCTAGTGGCACAACTGCCATGGCGGCTTCTTGATGCTGCCGTAGGCAGTAGCTTAGTATAAAAAAACTTGAAAGGAGACCTGAAACTAAAACTTGAAGTTGTTTTCTGACGAAAGGAGTGGTACGAGAATTGACTAATGAAACCTAAACTTCTTTCGGAGTCCTAATTAAAATAAAATACTCTTTTTGAGTAAGATCTTAAAACCCCATAAAATAATAATAATAATAATAATAATAATATTCCTATTCTGAATAATATTCCAATTGTGACAGCGGCTATACTTCGATAATTTGTATTTTTTTTAATTTTAGGAAAGAAAAAAAAAAAAAAAACCTTTACTATGTGATTGCAATTAGACCAAACATTTTCCGGTTTGATTATTTGGATGCTATCTTAAGGAGATATTACTTTGTTTTGCATCTCCCTTTCTTTCACTCATTAATCGCATACCAAATCACACATTTTATGCATATATATATATATATATATCAATCAATTAAACATGATCGTTAAGATATATATATATATATATATCTTAAGGGATTTCACACTTGCTGGTTGTCCTACATTTCCTTTATAGGGTTTATTGGAGAGATGTACAATTTACTCTTGCAAACGTCTTATTCATCACAGTAAATCCTAATAATAGTTGAAAGTAGACACAGCTCTCAGAGAGTGAATCAGTATAAATTTTGTGTTTTTTTATTTTTGCTTTTCTTATGTAATTTTATTGCTCTTTGTAGTATAGAATTGAGGCGTTTATACTTCTAAGTTCTAAGGATAAATAAAAAAACAAAAGTTTAAGGTAGGGCAAGCATGAAAGAAACTTTTGAGAATTATTTCTTATGGACCTTTTCAGAATGTTTAAAGGTGTAATAAGTAGTAACATTTTAAATAATGATGACTTTACATAGTTTGGAGAGAGCAAGGAGTGGAGCAATAGAACAACTTTTGCTGGAAAGCAACAATAGAAAAAACTAGATTTAATTAGTGGCGACAGTTTGTGTCATGAGATAATTAAGTGTCGTTTTAATTAGAGTTAAGAGCGTTAAATGAAAGATCAATATGAACTATATAATAATTGTTTGATAAATGCTTATGAAAGATCTTAAGCAGCATTCTAGAGACATGAATAATAACTTTAAAAATCTCCAAAATATATAAGGACATATTATACGGTTATCTCATAAACTATAAGTCGTGTCACAAAATGTCTCTCAAATTTTAATTTGTCACATTCGTTCCTTTCGAACTTCAGAAATTCTCTTGCAAATTTTCCCATTCCGTTAAATTTATATAGATATACACTTCAACGTAACTAAATTTTCAAGAGAGATTGCAATGGACGTAGTAATTGGTAGAAGGATATCTACCATTGTTGTGATGGCCATGATGCTTTTGATTATTCCTATTACAGTGCAATCACTTGAACATTCCTTTACCTCTCTCCCTCTCCCTCTTTCAGCTCCTCTACCTTCTTCAGCTTCATTAATCAATGACGCGTCGAAGCGCCTAAAATCAAGGATTCGGGAAATTTTAAAAAAAAATGCGTTTAGAACTCATTTTAAAATGATTTTATTTTTTGTATGAAAATGAAAATGAAAACGTTTTCAATCTCAAACATAAATTATTTTTGAAAATGCGTTTGGTAGTTTTATCAGGAAATTACTTTCAATATAAAAAAAAATCTATTAATATCTCTCTCTTTATTCGAGAGAGAAGAAAACATAAACACAAAATAAAAAACGACTAAAAGTTGTTTTTCATTTCTCTCCCATTTTACACTAAACTAACAAATCGTTTTTAATTCTGTTTTTTCTTTAATTGTGTCAAACGCCGTTTCTCTCCTGTTTTTATTTTTTTCTCAAAAAACGTGAAAAATTCCCGTTCACTTCGCTGATTCGAGTTTAGAATTTGAGTTTTTCTACAGTAAAAAGCTCTCACAAACAATCACATCTAACTTTTTTGCTACAGTAAAAAGCTTTCACATAAAGTCACATCTCAACTCGAATTCTAAACTCGAATCAGCGAAGTGAACGGGCTTAAAAATAAAAACAACTCTAAACACAGCCAAAAATTCATAGTGTTGGTGCCAAAACTCGTACTCCTCCTCCTCAAATGGAAAAGAATGCCGGCCATCCTAAAAACACAGGTAAGTTTAACTAGAATGCCTGCCCACTATTTGGCGAATTATGTTTTTTTACGTTCTATGTCTTTATCGTAGATTGATGTTGTCCCGCTATCTATCGAGAATCTTGTAAAAGCTGAAGCTTTAATTCTTTAAATAAGATCAATTCATTCTTTCTCAAAATAAATAAATAAATAAATACCGAGGCTTTTAATTATGTTGTATTAATTTACATCGTTTTCATCATCGAAAGCATGTAATTCCAATTAAATTATGAAAATTATATAAAGGGGCATGATAAATGATTATTATGTCATGAGTTGTGTACAAAAATAAATTTATGTTTACTCATTATTGTCTATATTATTTGACTAATTTTATATCGAAGTGAATATAAAATTAATATTTAATTCATTGGATCAAAATGGTGATACTCGATTGAATTATATATTAGGACTCAAATAAGATAAGCCCATAAGATCCCTACAGTTTCTTATAAATATTGTGATTATACAAAGGGGAAATTGTAGTAGGTGGGCAAAGTTCTAAATATTTAGAAGTACATAACCTATTTCCTAAAGCATAGAATTAATAGGCCATTTTGGGTTTCAAATAATTTTTTTTCCTAATTTACCTTTCAGGATTTGTATCTTTTTTGTTTATTTCTCTTATTTTCCAAATTTATTTTTTAGCAAGCAAATCATACAAATACATCTAAAAAATATCTATATCTGGTAAAGACGTGTTTTTTTTTTTTCCTTAAATTTTGAAATAACCCCCTATTTTATGAAAAAATAAAAAAAAAATCTAAAATTTGTAAGTGTAATCTCAAATTTAGAAACCAAGGTGTCCCCTGTTTACCGTCACAATCACTGAAGTGCTGGTGCCAGAGAAGAACCTCGATAAATTCTGGAAACTAAGTGCAAAATAGAACTGTGAGATAGAAGGCGGCAAATGTCTAGAAGTTTCCAAATTTGTTTCTCATGACAATTCCTAAGGCAGAGCTGTGACGATCTACGAAGGTAGGCAAAGGAGGCAAGATCTTGGAGATCGTAAATGCGATCATTGGGAAACTGACGATGAGGATGGCAAGAGTGATCAATGGATGGTCCAATGCCTTATTTCAGTCTCTATAGAGAGAGATTTAAATTATAGGTTTATGAGTTCTCGCATTTTGTAATTTTACAAGACATTAAAGGTAAAATAAAAATTTTAGAATTATAAAATTTTAAAATAAAACACTCAAAGATAATTTATTGACAATTGAATATTAATTAAATAATGTGATTATTTAAGTTTAAATTTAAATTTTATAACACACATGTGAAGGTGTTCACATAGTGTGAATCCCTCTAAAATTCAGTTGCTTGCTCTCTAAATTATCCAATTGACTTATTTGATAAGTTATCTAATTTAAAAT